ATTCACCCCAGGGCTCTGCTGAGAACTCCACAGGTACCACCAGGGGCTATTGAGAAAACAGGTGTCCTCAGTTAGCAGCCTCAAAAACATACTTTAGGGAAGTTTTTTTTAAATTGTGGCATGTCTATAACAAACTTTGTCATGGTAAATATTTTTAAATGTAAAGTTCAGTGGCATTAAATACATTAAATACATTCATAATGCAGTGCAGTCATCACCATTGTCCATTTTCTAAGCTCTTTCATTCTGTACCCTTCCCCCCAAAAAATCCAGAAACTCTATACCTCCACTTGTCTAGCCCTGGTAAACTCTAATCTACGTTCTGTCTCTATAAACTTGTCTATTCTAGATATGTCAATATACACTGTCTGTTCTGTTGTGCCCTTTCACTTAGCTCAGTTTCCAAGGTTCATCATGCTGTAGCATGTGTCAGTACTTTATTCCTTTTAGTGGACTGAATAATATTCCACTGTATGGCTAGACCACATTTTATCCCTTTTGTTTGTTGACGGACCCGTGGGTTGCTCTCACCTTTGGCCACTATAAATAGACTACATAGCTATTAAGGGGTGGACAAGATAAGACCCAGGCCCTTTGATTCCAGAGCAAGCCCAGGGCTTGACCCCCATAAATTGGTACAGACTTTTCCATCTTGAATTTTTAAAAAAATCATCCAGAATTGCTGAGATAATCATAGAAATGAAGAAAAACCCTGGTCTTAAGTGTGCTGGGCTCCTGGAATGTACTATGTACAAGGCTGGTAGATGTTTGGTGTCTGAACTCCTTGGGTTGTACCTGGAGAAAGGCTTGGGTGTGCAGAGATGCTGGACCAGGGGTTCTGACCTCTTTGACCCACACTGCTGTCAGAATCCGGTGAGAGCCAGGGACACTCACTCCCATGCCCTGTTCTGCCAGCAGGTTCCCCGGAGCCTGCATTCCACTGACCTCAGGAGGAGACCTATTGGCCGGAGCGACCCAGGCCCCATCAGGGTCTTCAGCCAGCTCCTCTGACAAGTCTGGAATCAGGGTGGTTTGATTTCGCTGGTAGATGAACAGGTCCTCTTCTCCGCAGTCTGACTGTGGACAAGAGAGCTCAGGGATTACCGGGCAGGGGGTAGAGCCAGGAGGGCCTTGCCCCATTTACCCCATTCTGCCCTGCCTCCCCGCACAGTAGGGGCAGCAGTTCTCTCCCAAAGGGCCTTGCCCAGTGCTGGTTCCTGTTGCTGATTTAGAAAAGTAAGCTCAGCAGCACCACCTGGTGGAAGTGAGATCCCGAGTTCCCAGTTCTGCACATACCTGCCATCCTTGACATTGCACGGCAGGTGCTTAGTTAATGCCTGGTGCGAATGAACTGGACACCAAAGTGGTAGCTAAAAGAGCAGAGTCCAGCTTTTCCCCTCCCCCATGACTTGAACCATCCTTTAATGACACGGAGCCTTCATTTGTCGCCTCTAAGGTAGGGTGGGGAAGGCACTTATAGTCACCTGCCCACCTCACAGGAGTATTCTGAAGATAGCAAATGAGATTGAAGATGTGAAAAGGCACTGGGGTTGCATTATCTACTCCCTATTATCCTCACTGTGCACTGGAAGATCTCGGGTGGAAGCTGTGTCATTTTCATCTTTGCAAGTGCCACAGGTCTGATCCAAATCTGGCTTGTTATTTCTAAAACCGTTCTCTACATGCCCAGCTCCAACCTGTGTATTTGACATCCACTGCTGAGCTCCTACCTGGTGCATCGCCCACTTTGCTCTGTTTGTGGGTTTGTTGTCACATTTACATGTGTGCACATGCCTAATTTTCACTACATGGAGAAGATGGTACAACTCACTTTAACTTAAATTCAGAGTCACTTTTGCCACCCAACATTCTCTTAGTAGGTAGAAACTAGAAGCACAATGACCATCATGGTGAAGCAAGGCCCACCACAGTGTATAATGTTACAAAGGCCTCCTGGTTCTTGAAGAGGCTGAGTAGGCTCTTTAAATGTCTGTTGAATGAATGCATGTGATCAATAAGAAAAGTACTACGGCCTGGACAGCGTGGCTCAGTGGTTGAGTGTCGACCCATGAATCAGGAGGTCACAATTTAATTCCTGGTCAGAGCACATGCCCAGTAGTGGGCACAATCCCCTGTGGAAAGCATGCAGGAGGCAGCCGATCGATGATTCTCTCTCATATTGATGTTTCTAGCTCTCTCTCCCTCTCCTGTCCTCTCTCTGAAATCAATAAAAACATTTAAAAAAAAAATTACTGCCCTAACCAGTTTGGCTCGGTGGCTAGAGCGTCGGCCTGCGGACTTAAGGGTCCCAGGTTCGATTCCAGTCAAGGGCATGTACCTTGGTTGCGGGCACATCCCCAGTAGGGAGTGTGCAGGAGGCAGCTGATTGATGTTTCTCTCTCATCAATGTTTCTAACTCTCTATCCCTCTCCATTCCTCTCTGTAAAAAAATCAATAAAATATATATTTTTTTAAAAAGAAAATTACTATGTATTATACATTCACCATGTCCCAAACACTGTGCTCAAAATTTAATTATTTAATCCTTACAACAACTTACAACGTGGAGCCTTGGTGCTTAACTCTTACATGATGTACCTCTCTGTTTATCACCATCTTCCATAAAGCAAATGGGGGTGTTTGCCAGGATGAGAAAAACACTAGGATGAAGCCCTGGCTGGGGGCTCAGTTGGTGAAGCATCGTACTGTGCACCAAAAGGTTGCAGGTTCAATCCCTGGTCTGGGCGCATCCGGGAGGCAGCCAATTGATGTTTCTGTCTCCTATCAATGTTTTTCTCTCATCTCGATGTTTCTCTCTCCCCCTTCCTTTCTCAAAATCAGTAAATTTGCCCTTGGGTGGGTGAGGATTTAAAAAATACCTTAGGATATGGGTGACTTCGTTAACTCTATTAGTTGAGCACCCATTCTGGGCCAGGCATTTTACATACAGAATCCAAAATTTGTACCAGTGGTAACTGCCCACAGGTTACATGGTAAGTTAGCTACTGAGTGGAAATGGGGACCCAGGTCTGCTTGATGCTGATGTTCCCGCTATCCTCCTCTGCTGAGGTGCTTTCTCAACTTGCTGTTGAGCCAGAACTTGGCTGGAACCACCACTGAGGGTGGCATTGTGATACGCCCTCAGAGGAATTCTCCAGTTGTCCTTTGGGGTCACTAGTAAGACCCAGGAGGATGCTGAGCACTAATAGATATATTCAGAGAACAAAAACAGTGATGGTGGATGCAGAGCTAATAAGCTCCATAGCCATCCATGTGTCAGCGTCACGTTTGTCATGGGAAAGGAAGAGCAATCAGCCTAAGATGACATGGGAAGAAGGTACTTACTTACCAAAGAGGAATCCGAGTCCAGAGACGGAAGGTGCTCCCTGACAGCCTCAAGAATGGCCTCCCAGGGCCCCATCTGGGAGGCCCACGGAGAGGGCAGTGAGGGCCCCACATCTTTGTCTTGGGATGCCATGGGGCCTGGGCTCAGAGGAAGTTTCTCAGTGTGCCATCATCCAAGGAACCCTATAGAGGATGCGGGGTGAGGTGACAGGATCCAAGGACCAGGGGTCAAGAGCTGGGGTGGGGTGTGGGGTGCCTTTTCAAAGAATCTACCACTTTGAGGGGGATGAAAACTACCTCCTACCCCATTTCCCTTCTGGTTCTGCAGGTTCCTGTTACTGAGTGTGAGGCACTGTGCCCTGCACTGTGTGTGTGTGTGTTTGTGTGTGTGCAGTGCAGTGCAGTATGGAGACCGAAGATATATGTATATGAAGTATATAGTGATATATAATATATAGATATTGATATATAATTATGTACATAAGTATATGATATATACAATGATACATTATATACTGATATATAGATCATGTAAACTATATATATCTCATATAACATAGATACTATTATCTATATTTTATAGGTTCAGATAAATTATATTGTTTGTAAATGGGAAAGAGAATTTGCATCAAAATTAGAGGGGATTTTAGGCCCCACTAACTTTTATTGCTCCCTTACAAAGGAATAGACTAGAGACATTTTGGAGTCCCCAGGATATATACATTTTCTGAGTCATCACTCAATTTAACCCTCATACCAAGGCACTGAAGCAGCCCCCCCTTTTGTATCCCAGTCTAAAAGGAAAAAGCCCAGTCCCTCATGGGTCAAAGGGGTTTGGGGAATGTAGGATGATGTATTTCAGAGCCAGTGCCTGGAAAATCCTTGCAGCCTGAGGCAGCAGTGCCTATAAAATGAGAAGAGAACACTCCTGCTCCAGCCCTAGCTGGCTGCCAGCTCTGCATCAAGGCTCCCATCAGTGTAGCAGCAGTGGGCTTCTTGCTTTTTCTGTGCTTATAGGAGTGGGGACAGGAGTTTGGTGCACCCACAACTGGAAACTGCAGAGTGTGGACGCATGTAGTACATACATCATGGGGCAGATCAGAGGACAACAGAACCACGTAGGTGAATGGGACTACCAGAGCCTGATAAGTTCTTTAGGTGGACAAGGCAATGAAGGGAAAGGGGAAGGCATTGGGCTGCAGGAGAACATGTAGTGTCTCAGAGGAGTGAAAATTGCCCAAAAAGTTTGGGGTGGGAAGGTGTCAACTGCTGGACTTTGCGGTAAAAACGGACCAGATCGTGAAGCGTCCTGAACGCCAAGCTGAGGAGTTTGGCTCATCCAGCAGATGAGGGTTAAACCAAATGCTACACAAACTGGCATCCCAAGTTTCCTCGGAATCCTGACTCTGAATCCACGTCCGTTTCTTGGCTGTAGCCGTTAGCCCCGCCCAAAGTCCCACCCCTGCCATCCCTACCACTGGCGGGTGGTTGTCATGACAACTAGACGCCAACGGCCTCCCCGGTCAGGCTTTTAAATGCTAAAGCTTGGAAACCGGAAAACCCAGCGTCTGTCCTGCCACACACTCCCAACCCCTGTCTCCTCCGCGTCCCGTCCAGCTCCCGACATTTATCTCTGCAGCTGCGGCAGGCCCGAGGCCCCTCACCTCAGGCCTCCGCCTCGGCTGCCCTCCCAACGCCGTCCTGACAGGACTATAAACAGCCTCCAGAGCGTTCCTCCGGTCGTTTTCGCCCCCTTGGGCCGCGGCGCAACTACTGAACCTTTCACTGCCTTCGGGCTACCCCCTCAGGGGAGTCTTACTTTACCGACTGCTAACCGCCCCTCTCGCCCCCCGCAACCCCCCGCCTCTTTCGGGGCTTGGCGCGTCTTGCCCCTTTTGCAATAGGATTGGTTGCTATGGTCAGAGAGGGGCGGGGCAGGCGCACTCTCCCAGCTCATTGGTTGCAGCGGGCGTCCTACAAAGAGCCGGGCGAGCTGACGGGAAGGTCCGGGTGTGGAACCGACGAATTCCACCGCGCCCAGAGCTGCTCCGCGATTCCGCGAACGTCCCGGCGTGCTCCGCGCCTCCGCAACCACTTCCGGGGCGGGAGCAGGGCCGTGCGTCCAGCCGCTGAGGCAGCCGGCGTGGAGGGCTCCCGGGCGCGCGCGGCGTAGCGTGGGTCCAGCCGGAGGAGCGC